AGGAAGGCGGCCAGCACAATTAAAACTCGCTCCACTCATTAGCAAAAAGAGCTGCAAAGCAGGGGAAAGCCTTGTCCAAGCACCTCACCTCCTCCTAGGGCAGAAGTCATAACCCCACAGACAGCCCATCTGCTTTTGGAGCAACAGGGGAGCAGACAACAGGTCCCCATGTTTGGGAGATCTGAGCAGCGAAACCCTCACGGCTGTCTCTGGCAGTGGGATGGACACAGCAGGGAGGGTGAGACCCAAAAAAGTGCATGGAAAGCAGGCAGTGAGCACTGCCTCACCCTCCTGTGTAAATATAAATAGAAAGCTCATCATTAATTCATGTTACTGGAGCTCCCTGTCAGGGGTTATCAGGGGTCAGGAGTCACAGCCATTTTTGGCATGCCCAGTTCAACAACTGCCCCCAGCACTTCAGCTTTACCGAGCACCATACGTGGCTCTCCAAAGATCCCAGCACATCTTTAGTTGGGAGAAAAATCCATGTATCCATCAGTGGGAGGCCTGGTTTGGCCACTGTGGCAGGGAGGTGTTACCGAGGCAGGGGAACAACACATGAAAACTAGCCAAGCTCAAAAGCCCCTGAATTATTTAGGAGGAATTTGAGGGGGACACCAGGACTGGAGGCGGATGGCACCCCACCATCCTTGGGCTCCCTGATCCAGACCCTTCCCCAGCTGCTCCCCTCTCTCATCCCCCTGCTGTAGCCACCGACCTGCACGCTCACACCCTCTTTGAGGGGAAACTGAGGCACGGAGAGACCCCCAAAGGGAGCTGATCTGGAGCACACACGGCAGAGCCAGTGCCATGAGCTCTGTGAAGCACTTCCAGCCCAAACCCAGGCCAGCACCTGGGTCTGCTCCAAGCCTGTCAGCCAGGGTGGCAGCTCACCTTCCCTTGGGAACCCCTAGATCTGAAAGCCACCAGAGCAGCAGCAGCAGCTCCTGGTTCAGACACTGAACCAGACCAGGCTCAGGAGTGTGTGGGGATTATCTCCCACTCCAGCACATTATTTATGACACATTCAAACTGAGCCAGGCGGGTGCAATGAACGGGTCTGGTTTTTGCCAGGGATGGTGCAAGAAGCACTGTGTGAAGCCACATTTCTGGGAAGATGCTCCAACACACCCTCCAGTCCCTGCTCAAGGGCTTGTGAGAACACAGCAGCCACTCACACCAGCTCCAGGCATCAGCCTGACATAGCCACGTCCCCAGCAAGTGTGCAGGGACAGCACTGGTGCTCTTGAGATTTTTGGGCTGGGGAACCTCCAAATCCAGAGGTTGCAGCCTCTGAGTTGCCAAACCTGGGTCTTGCAAGACTTCTGTGTATTTCAGAGCTTCTGCCATGCAAAAGTAGTGTCCAGGCTAATAGTGGTGGTAGTAGTAGTAGTAATAACAATAACAATAAAAATAATAATAATAAAAACAACAACCCCACACGGTAAAGCAGCACAAAACAGTAACACCCGCAGATGGCAAAGTGGCCATGCCAGCTTCAAGGCAAGCCCTTGTCTCACAGGGAGAGGTAACATGGCAATTCCCAGAAGTCACCAAGGAAAACAGGGGTCCCACAAGGTGCCTCCTCCTGCCAGCCCAGCCCCAGCACTCCAGGCAGGAAGACTTGGACTGGGATCACCTTTGTGTCTCCACAACCCAAACCCTGCATGCTAGGGGTTGGCACAGCACCATGAACAGCCATGTTTTTGGGGGATCAGTGTCCCAAGCAGCAATGCTCCAGAGAGCCTGGCCAGCACCAGGACATCAGGGTGCACTGGCACAGGGCTTGTCATCCTTGTATTTGCCTGGCAGCAGAGAGTAGAAGGAGGCATCATCAGTGCAGTGGGGGCTGCCATGGCAGGCAGCTCCTTTCCTGCACTGCCCAGCATGTGGTACCCCACGGATTTGAAAAATCCCCGAGGAAAACCCTCCAGTATGGGCTGGGCTCATGCCCAGGAACCTCCTCCTCATCCCCACCCAGGTGCTCCCTGCTGGCAGCCCCCGAGCTCCCGGGGCCCATCGGGGTCTGGCTCCACAGGATCGGCTCCGAGGGGGCCAGGGGACGAGCACTCAGGTGGCCTTTGGGCCATGGAGGTGGCGGGGGCTGGCAGCATGGCTGCATCCCCCCTGCATCCGCAGCGCTGCTGCCTTGTTGCCACAGCAACGCTGTCCGGGCTCGCCGCAGCATCCCGCAGCATCCCGCAGCACAGGGCTTGCACCGGGAGACAGGGGAGAGCCACAGCCCCTCCCACACAGCCCCCGACTGCAGCCAACCAGCCCTGCCTGTCCCCACACCCCCTCCCCACGGCACAGCAGCCCCCCGCTGCCTCTGCCTTTCTCCCGGGAGCAGGGGGATACCTGCCCCAAGCCCACCCAGCAACCACAGCTGGGGGGGTCTTGCCACATGGAGGGGTCCACAGGCCATGGAAGTGATGAATTGCTGGGAAAAAAAGCCCAGTCTGGGGTCACCACTATACACAAGGGTGGTACAGAGGGGCAATGTCACATCAAGCAACACATCACTACCACCTTTTTGGTATTTTACCACATTTTGAAACGCCACCAAACAAGGGTGGCGTTTTAAAAACTTCATGGGACACCCAAGGTGCAGCCAGAGAAGCAACAGATGGACAAGGCTTGCAGGAGGTGACACAGCCACTGTGAGGCTGCTAGGAAAGGCATGGTGGCAATTGCCAAGGGTAGGATGTTGTGTGTGGGCAAGGAACTGTCATTCTGCACCAATGTCACCAAAAATGACACATCTCAGGGACTTGTTCCAGGTGGCGAGGAGGGAAGCGGGTCCCTGTACACAAGGGGTGGAGGCCTCACTCTGCATAAACAAAGGAGCAAATTGCTTTTTTTGGGCTTAAGTAGCCCAAGAGATAAGGGCAGATAAGCCCCACCCAATGGATGAAGAGCAGGTGGAACCATCCAGACCATGAATAGGCCAGAGCCTAAAACCTGGGGGCAGAAGGACGGGAGGCAGCACACACAGGCAGGATGGGATATACTGAGCAGCGGAGTATTTTTCCATCAGGCTGCAGCAGAGGTGACTCTCTGCTCAGGGGCAGACAAAAGCAGAAACCCTCACCTCCAGCCGGGCACGCTGCGAGCAGACTGTGGCCTCCTGCCAGCACAAGCCGCCAGTGGCCATTGATCGAGCCGGGGACGAGCCCGTGGATGACAACCTGGCCATGCACCGAGCACCGCGGGCCTGCAGCATCTCCAGCCGCGATGCTGCACCGGGTGAACCCGCACCGGGGTGAGCGGCCCCGGGGCCGAGATGCTGCACCGGGG